AAGGCAGGAGGGTCTGCTCCTTGGAGATCGGTGGCTGGGAGGGTTTGGGTGCAATGGGTGAGGAGCCAAAGGAGGTTGTCCCCTGTGGGTTGTGTGGGCAAGGTGGTGCGGGTGATGTTGGGGAGGTTGGAGGCGTCTCATGGAGGCCTTTCTCCAACCCTGACCATCATGGGTCCATCTGGGCCAGGTTCCTCCTGGCTGTGTCCACGCGAGGGTTGGTATCTCCAAGGATGGAGACCCACCATGTCCCTGGGTCTGCCCTCATTGGGATGGGGTGGGACCTCCCTCATCCAACTCTGAACCCAAACCAGATCCCACCCCAACCACCACAGGCGCATCTGGATGAGGTTCCTCATGGCTCCTCCCAGTGAGGTCTGGAGAACTCTAGGGATGGAGCCATGTCCCTGGCGCATCTGGATGAGGTTCCTCATGGCTCCTCCCAGTGAGGTCTGGAGAACTCTAGGGATGGAGACCCACCATGTCCCTGGGTCTGTCCTCGTTGGGATGGGGTGGGGTGGAACCTCCCTCATCCAACCCTGAGCCCAAACCAGGTCCCACCCCAACAAACACAGGCGCATCTGGACAAGGTTCCTCCTGGCTCCTCCCAAAAAGGTCTGGAGACCTCTAGGGATGCAGCCCCCACCACCCTGAGGGAAGGGCTTTGACCACCCATCCCACATGACCACCTCCAAGGAGGCCATTTCCCACCCTCTGCTCCCACCCCCCAGGGTTGCCCAAGGCAGCGGTGATCACAGAGTTGAAGCTGATGATGGTAGCCAACCTGGCTCGGCTCTGTGGCCTGCGCCCTGATGATGTAATCTACACAACGCTGCCGCTCTACCACTCGGCCGGGCTGCTCATCGGGGTGGGAGGGTGCTTCGAGGTCGGTACGTACCCCCATGTCGCACGTGGCCCAGCCAGCATAGGGAGGGGGTGCAGGCAAGGACAGGCAGAGAGAAGTATTGGAGATGGATGGATGGATGGATGGATGGATGGATGGAGAACTGTTTGGGGAGAGGGAAGAGGAAGAAGGGAGAGAGGGAGCTGTGTCCATAGATGGGTGAGGGATGGATAGACGGATGGGTGGACATTTTAGATGGATGGACAGCTGTTTTATGGAGATGGATGAATGGATGGATGGAAAAAAGGGAAAAAAAAAGAAAAAAGACAGAAAAGGGGAGGGGTAACCATCACCCTGCCGTGTCCCCAAAGGAGCCACCTGCGTCCTACGGGCCAAGTTCTCCGCCTCCCAGTTCTGGGACGACTGCCGCCGCTACAACGTCTCCGTCATCCAGTACGTGGGCGAGCTTATGCGCTACCTCTGCAACACACCCAAGGTAAGGTCCTGCCAGCCTGAAATCCAGCCCGGGGCGGCGAGGCAACGCTGTGGGACGCATGCCAAGACGGTCCCTCCCTTTGTCACCCCACAGCGTGCCAACGACCGGGAGCACGGGGTGCGCTTGGCCTTGGGCAACGGGCTGCGGGCAGAGGTGTGGAAGGAGTTCCTCCAGCGCTTTGGGCCCATCTCCATCTGGGAGTTTTACGGGGCCACCGAGGGCAACGCCGGCTTCATCAACTACACCGGCAAGATCGGGGCCGTGGGCAGAGCCAACATGTTCCTCAAGGTGGGCTGCCGGTGACGACGATGGTGGCGGGGGAACAAACGCTGACTGCCCTGGGGAGACCGATACTGTACCTCAAGTTGGGTTGATGCCAAGAGTGGGGGGTGTCTCCACGATACCCTCTTCATGGTGGCGCAAACGGTGACCTCCCTGGGGAAGCCAACACTGTCCATCAGGTTGGGTTGATACAAAAGCAGGATCTCCAAGATCCCCTCTTCTCATCCAAAAGGAGTCCCCTCCACCCGGTTGGCCGATGTTGACTCAACAGTGTTGACTCAAAGTCTAGTTTTGGAGTGTCCATGGTGAACTGGACATCTCTATAGCTCCGAGAAAGTCCACTTCAGTGTCAATTCTCAGTCCCCAACCACCCACCCAATTGAGCAAAAGCTGCAAAAATAAGGTTTTCTTCACCCTTTTCCCACACTTGCAGCACTTGGCATTCTCCCACGGGTCCTTGATTTGAAAGATATCATGATGAGTTTGGTCAACGGTTGAATCTATTAGATAAAATCTTATTTAAATATAAAGGGCGATTAGCTCAGGTGGAATACAAGTGGCTACCCAGGATGTTGGGATCTCGGGGGGTGGGGTGTGTTTCTGTGGGTTGTAATGAGCAAATAACAGAGGATCGGACCGGGCACTGGAAGTCTTCTCGCTCTTTTTAATCCTGCATTTCTCTTCCACCCACCAGTTTCTCCCTTTGTCCCTCTTCTGCCCTCCAGAGTTTCTCTCCCTTTGAGCTGATCAAGTACAATGTGGAGGAGGACGAACCCGTACGTGACAAGCGAGGTCTCTGCATCCCAGTCTGCCCCGGTAAGAAGCCATGAGCCTTACGAGGGACTTTTTGGGAAGAAAGGAGGGCAGACAGAGGGTTGAGATGCATCAAAGCCACCTCTTGGTCCTTATCACCATCATCTTGGTGGCTGGAAGCCACCAGAAACCCCTCAAAGAAACAGGAATGTCATCCCTGAGCACCCGGTGGGGCATGGAGGTAACATTCCCCAGCACTGAGGCAATTGCTGACCAGCCTCCAACCTTCCTTTCCCTCCCCGAAGGTGAGACGGGGCTGCTAGTCATCAAAATCACCAAGAACACCCCTTTCCATGGCTATGCGGGCGATTCCCAGAAGACAGAGAGGAAGATCTTGAGGGACGTCTTGGTCAAAGGCGACGCCTTCTTCAACAGCGGTGACCTCCTCATGATGGACCATGAAAAATTCATCTACTTCCAGGACCGCGTGGGAGACACTTTCCGGTAACTCTGATGCTCGCACACCCACGTCTGTGTGGGCAATGCCAGCTGCCAACCCAAATCCCCCCCTCACAGCTTCATCCCTTCTCTTCCCTAGTTGGAAAGGCGAGAATGTGGCCACGACAGAGGTGGAGGCCACTCTTGCCATGGTGAACTTCATCCAGGAGGTCAATGTCTATGGAGTGCATGTGCCGGGTGAGTACTGGGTGGTGCGGGGGGGTGAGTCGGACCAAAATAAGCATCTGGTGATGTTTCAGCCATGGAATGTGCCCCCATATGGTCCGAGCGGCCACCGAGAAGCCTAAAGTAGAACAGAATGGAAGGGACCTACAATGATCATCTAGTCCAACGGTGTGACCACTTCTGGGCTGACCAAGTAGGACTCATTGATCCAAAATAAGAGTCCGGTATTGTTTTGGGCTCATGATTACTGCCGCAACGGTCCAAACAGCCACCAAGAAGAGTAAAGCAGGATGAGGTTACCCAAAAGAAGCATCTAGTGTCGTTTGGGGCAAGTAACATGTCCACATAATGGTCCAACTGACCACCAAAGCGGCTAACGTAGGACTTATTGACCCAAAATAAGTTTCTGGCATGGCTTTGGCACACAACGGGCTCCTGTAAAGGTCTGAGTGGCCACCAGGAAGGTTAAAGTGGGACTTGGTTGCCCAAACCAAGTGTCCAGCATTGTTCTGGGCATGCAATGTGCCCCTGCCATTGTCCAAGTAGCCACCAAGAAAAGTAAAATGCCGTTGCCCAAAAGCAGCATCTGGTGGTGTTTTGGGCAACTGACATGTCTCCATGATGGTCCACGTGGCCACCAGGAAAAGGGGACTCAGTTGCCCAAAATAAGCGTCTGTTGTTATTCCAGGCACATGATGTGCCCCCATCACGGTCCCAGCAACCTCCAAGGTGGCTAAAGTGGGACACATCCACTCAAAATAAGCGTCCAACATTGCCTTGGGCATGTAACAGATCCCCGTAACGGTCCAAATGGCCACCAAGAAGAATAAAATGAGACTCGGTTGCCTAAAATAACCCTCCGGCGTTGTTTGCAGGGTGCGAGGGGAGGTGCGGCATGGCGGCCATCCGCCTGAAGGCTGGGACGAGCTTCGAGGGCGAGAACCTCTACGCCTTCACCAGGGACACGCTGCCCAGCTACGCCACCCCCCGCTTCGTGCGGATCCAGGTCAGTGGTCTCAGCTTCATCCAGGCATCGGGGCGGCTTCTGGAGGATGGGTTTTTTTTTTCCGGTCCTCTGCCAAATTAGTCCTTTGGACGAAGGGCGATTCGGCAGCGTGGGCGCCAGCGCCCATTTCCAATGACTGTGTGAGCGTCCCCCCAGTTTCCGATGACGGTGCCAGTCACCCTGTGCCAGTAACGGTGCTGGGGTCCCCCGTTACCAGCGACGGTGCCTGTTCCCCACGGCCGATGACAGTGCCAGGGTCACCCTGTTGTCGATGGCAGTGTCCATCCGCTTCTGGAGACGGTGACGGTCACCCAATATCGATGATAACATCAGGGTCACCCTGTGCTGATGACGGCATCAGTCCACCTTTCCGACAACGGCGTCAAGGTCCCTCCTTTCCCATGCCAGCGGTGGTCACCCTTGTGCCAATGGATGGTCACCTTGTGCCAGTGACACCATACAGGTCCCCCCAATTCCCATGACACCATCTGTGCCCCTGTGCCAATGACACAGGGGTCATCATTTCCAATGATGGCACCTGGATCCCCCCGTGCTGATGACGGCGTTGGTCCCCCACATTGCCGACGACAGCGTTTAAGTCCCCCATTTCTGATGACAGTGCCAGTCACCCCACACTGGTAACGCCATCCATCCCCCCCATTTCTGATGACACCGTCCATCTCCGCAGGATGCCCTGGAGATCACGGGGACCTTCAAGCAGTGCAAAGGCAACCTCGTCAAAGAAGGCTTTGACCCCAACGTCATCAAAGACCCCCTCTTCTTCCGCGATGACAAGAAGAAATCCTACGTGCCCCTGAACCCCGACATCTACGCCGCCATCCTGGACATGAAGCTCAACCTGTAGAATGAACCAAACCACGCCAGGGTCTCCACGATGGCCTGGGGCGATAATTGCCTCAAGGCAACTGGCAAGGCCGATTTGGGGCTAAATCAGGCAGTTTTCGCTTCCTTCGGGGAGTTTTTAAACGGTGCCGGAGCACGACGAGGGTGACAGGCTGGTCGTGGCGTTCACTATCCCGCCCCGGTGCCTCCGTGCCACGCTGGCTGCGGAAATTAAAGGCTTAACTCCAATTATTTGGGTCCAGGCGGGCGCCGGGTCGACGAGGGCCATTTTCTGGGGACAGACCCACTCGCTTTCCCTTCCGGAGGGGGCAGGGGGTGCCCCAAATCCTCCCCGCTGCCGGGAAGGGAATATTTGCTCAGCGTTGGCCTCTTGCTTGCCCGTGGGGCCGGCCCTGGAGATGTATCAGGCCCCAAAACACTCTTGGCCTCCCACCCAGGGCTCGTTGAGCCGCTTTAGCTCACCAATCTGGAACAAAACCGATTTAATTTCTCCCTGACCCAATTTTCTGCCTGATCAGCGACCTAAACGAGCTCGGAAAGGCAGCCTGGGCTCCCCCATCCACCTCAGACCCACACGACGCACACCAAGCCCCCACGACACCATCAGCTTCTTCCTGCCCTTCCCCAGCACCCGCTGAGCCGGTTTAACCGACGCAAAAGGAGCTTATTTCTCCCTGCAGCCGTTTTCTGCCGGATCGGTGAGGAAAATCGGCTTGGGG